AGAGGCCTCTTGCGCTCGCCTGCCTTCGTCACAGCCTCCCTCTGTCCCCGGGTCGGTGCTGGTGCCCAGTCTTCCACCTGGAAGAGCCTCAGAGTCTTCTGCACCTGCAAACTGCGTGCCCTGAGGGCTCCACCCGCCGACGGGAAGTCTTCTGAGAGCCCGAACCCACCATCCGTGCCACTGTCTTTCCCTCCACTAGACTCCAAAACCGATTTCACGTTGGTGGACTGGCCTCTGGAATTGCTTTTGTCCTTCACTCTAAGGCCTGGGCCCCACCACAGGGCCTGCTACTGAGCAGGCACCAATGACTTCAGTAAAAATGATAACGGACTGATGGTGTCATAACACCCACTGTCACCACACCCCGGCCTTCCCTGCCCGCCCCCCCCCCCCCGGGTTCTTCTTGGCCCGGCATCAGGCCCAGCCCAGGGGGTCCTTGGGGCCCTGTGACCAGGGAGCTGGGCCCCTGACTCCTCCAGGGTGACCTGACTGTCCCTGCCTTGGGGCAGACCTGGATGATGAGCCCCAGGGGAGCTCTCAAGGGAGAAGGGGGAGGGGCCGTGCTGAGCTTGGCATTCAGCGTCGTCTTGTTTTCTATGCTTGGGCCTGTCTGGAAACCCAGGTTCCAGCTTGGGACTGCCTAGGCTATGTGACCTTGTGCAAGTCACTAAGCGTCTCTGGGCCTAAGTCCCCTTTCAGAGTCTAAATTCTGGAGAAAATGCTTTCACTGGTGATGGTGGCTCCTCCTCTCTGGGTGGCCCAGTCTGTTCTCCAGCAGCCCCACTGTCCTCGGACAGGCCCTTCCGCAAGGGCAGGGATCAGGGCGAGTGGAGCCTTCAAGATGCTGAAACCAACTGCTACCTGTCACTGCAGCCTGACAGCTGGGAGCAGCAGACACACCCAGGCTTGGGCATCTGGTGCAGCATTTGAGGAGGGCGTCCAGCCTGGCCTCCCAGGCCTCAGCTGCCCATCCACCGAATGGGCAGAAGGTTGCACCAGTCAGAGAGGTGCCCTCCCCGCTACAGGAGCCAGGGGCAATCCGGGAGCAGCGGGCCAGGGCTGCATCACCCCTGTGCCCAGCTGTGTGGCCTGGGTGAGGCCCTCTGAAGCCACTGTCCCAATAGCAGGGGACACAAGGACTGCACGGGAAGTTGAGGTCTCAGGGTGAGGGGGGCAGAAAGGCCTCAAACTCACAACGATCCTCCTGGCTCTGGAGGCTCTGCTGCTGGTGGGAGCAACACTCTCACCCCCAGATCCTGACAGCTTTGGGACGTGGCTCAGCGGCTAGCTGGGGACCTGGCTGGCAAAGCCCTTGCCCTGGCTTGCCCTTAGCATGGGGCACAGAGAACAGTGACAAAGGACAAGGAGCAAAGGCTGGGAGACAGATGAACACGGGCCCGCAGGAAAATCAGCAGCGTGGGGTGCACCTATCCCTGGCCACCTCTGCTGTGCCCTCCAGCTGCCAGGATGAAGCCACTGTGAAGATCTGATAGCCTGGTCCAGGGTCACATGTGGTGGGGGTGGGGCTCCGCCCTGGAGGGCTTCAACGGGAACCTCATCCCCCACGGGGTGCAGAGCAAACAAACCGGCAGGGGGAAGGGGAGGGGCAGCAGCTGAACAAACAGCACCTCCCTCCCCTCTGCAGCCTGAGCCAGACACCTGTGTGACCTCTGACCTTTGGCTGGCCGCAGACAGGACACTTGCGTGTCAGCCATGGACACGCAGGCTGGGCTGTGTGTGTGTATGCATGCGCGTATGCACCCTGGCATGCACCCCGAGGCATGTATTTGCCATCCTGGGACACCGCCCCGTCCAACCCCCTGGGCAGGTGAAGAGGATGTCAGGGCAGAGGACCAAATCCACCCACTACCCGCTCTGCATGGCTTGGGAGCTGAGATTGGTGTCTACATTTTAAACAGTTGAAAAAAAAAAATGTTTCTCGGGCCGTGACAGTGATTCTGATTTCAATAAGTATTTCAAGTTTCAGTGTCCACAAGTAGTTTTATCAGTACACAGCCCCTGCGTTCGTTTGCATGCTGTCTGCGGCTGTTTTCCCAACGACAGCACAGGGCGGGGAGGCCTAAAAGATTTACCATCTGCCCTGGCAGAAAAGTCTGCCAGCTCCTCCTGTATTAGGGTGCCAGCAAAATCAGGCCAGGCTGCTATCTCCCCTCAGATGAAAGTGTACCTCAACAAGCCCAAGGGGGACTAGACAGCGAGCAAACCTAGACGGAAATTTGGTTGATTTCAGTGCGTATGCACAAGTTTTGGGTTTGAACGTTTTATGTGGCATGTGTGCATGTGTGAAACAAACTCTTTAAGGTTTAAGATCTCCCTTTCTCTCCCTTTTTTGAGACAGAGTTATGTAGCCCAGGCTGGCTTGGAACTCACTGCGATCTTCCTGCCTCAGCCTCCCAAGTGCTGGGATTACAGGTGTGCACTACCACACCAGGTTCGGTTTAGGGGCTCTTATTCATCTCTCTTGAACCCACAGTGTGCACATGCACTGGGTACATAGTCGGGGATTTGTTGCTGTTTGGGGATAAAATAGGCCTGATTCTCTCTAGCAATCCAGCTACCTTGCTAGTGATGCGATGTTCGTGCCCATTTTATAGACCTGGAAACTGAGACACCCAGCCCAGGCCACACAGCTGCTCAGGGCACAGGGAGCTTGATTCTCAGCACTGCTCCCTGATGGACTATGAGTCCAGGCTGACCTGGACTCATGAGCAATGAGGGCAAAGTTCCCTCCTTGACATTGCTCTGGCCTGGGGGAGTAGGCAGCCTGCTGCAGCCCCTCCCCCTAGAGATTCCCAGACATCCCAGGTCCACTGCCCCCTGGGTTTCCAGGCCTTCCCCTCGATGGGAGTCCTGGCAGGCGCCCTGGAACCTGTAGAGAGATGAGTGGCTTTTTCCCTTCTCCGGCAAACAGGGCCAGGTGTGGAGTGCACAGCGGCGGGAGGGGCAGGGAGGCGATGGGGCTGGACCTCCGGGGGACCCAGGCCCCGGACAGTCTCTGCAGCCTGCATGAGCTCTGAACTGCAGAACGCCAAGCAACCCCTTTCTGCTGCCAGGCCCCTGCCCTCGGGCTCTGGAGTAGAATGGGGGCAGGGCCAGGGGAGGCCTGGCACTGCCCAGCCCCCTTCAGGGCTTCAGAGCCCCTCTGGAATAATGGGCACAGGGACTGGAGAGCGACTGTCCTCTTCCCTCTGCACAGCCCAGCTCCTTGCTCCGACCCTCCTTGTGCCATTTTCCCCTCGCTCACCGCGCTCCAGACCCAGTGGACTTGAACGTACTCAGCTTGTCCCAGCCCAGGACCTTTGCACTGGCTGTTCCTCTGCTTGGAACATGGGCTTCCCTCGCTCATCCTTCAGATCTCGGTTCGAGCATCAGTTCCCCTGACTTATCTCACATCCTCAAGACCAGCAACTGGTTCCCGTGTGATCATGTGTTTGCTCGCTCTCTAACTCCGTGGGGACCTTTGCGGCTGGTTTCTCAGTAGTACACCTTTGCAGAGGTCCCTGACTTGCTACCTGCTGGGTCCCAGTGCTCCGTGCAGAGTCTGACACGCAGTGCCTAGAGTTAGGGAGAGGCAGACGTACCGAGATGTCGGGTCAGCGAGCGACTGGTCATGAGTTCGCTCCGCATCTAGACTCGCTGGGCACTCTGCAGGCGCCACGTAATTCTCTCGAGTGGTGACATCCAGCAGCCATTTCTGAGTCTACACCATCCTGTCCTACACTGGGCACCTAAAGGTGGCTGGTGCTACCCACAAGCTGACTTTCATGCTTTTCCATAACGCGAACTAACAGCTAACATGCACGTCAACGCCCACGTGTGCGAGCGGCTCTCACAGGGGGAGCACAGCTCGGGAGAGGAGAAGGTACCCTTCCATGCCCAGGGTTACCACACCAGCGCTGCCCCTCAGGGCTTCATGGAGACTTCCCCAAAGCCCCACCAGCTGCTCCTTGGGGGCTGAGTGTGGCAGGACCACATCACTGGGACCCCAGGGCGGGAGCTCGGGAAGTGCGTCACCACGTGACAAACCCCAGGTCAGAGAGTGAGAGCATTTTCATCACCACCACCCCCTATCACATCACCAGCAACACAACCATCAGCACCACTACGCTCCTGAGATGGTCTCCAGTATCACCACCAAGCAACACACCCGCGCGGCCACCAGGACAGTCACCCGCACCCCTCTTCCACCATCACTCCCAGGGCCACCACCAGCACAACCATCTGCATGGCCACCACCACTGGGCCCGCCATCAGAGCCACCACCACACTGCCACCAGCATCCTTCCACTGTTACCATGACACTCACCCCAATGCTACCACCGAGGCACTGACGTGACTACCACCATGACTGCCCACCTTTACCACCAACCCTCCAATAAATAACCACAGCTTCTCTCCCCTGACACCCCAACACCTGCAGCCAGTACACCACCCAGGGAAGAGCTTTGGCTCTGCAGCTCAGCTGCCTGGGCTTCAGTCACAGCTCTGAGTTGAAAGCACTCAGCTTCCAGGAGACTCGGTTTCTCCATCTGTCAAATGGGACTATGCTACTATAAGAAATCATACTGTCCGGCAATGTCGGCAAAGAGGAAGAGAGAGCACGTACAGCCTGTATTCTTTGATAACCGTGAAGGCTCGCCTGCTTCTGTGCTCAGCCAGGCCATTTGCTTTTATTCTGAGGCAGCTGGCAGAGATATGGATCTTGATACTGACTGACATTGACCCATTTTGCAGATGAGAAAACAGTCTCAGAGACGGAAGGCACCTGGTCTAAAGCCCCACAACTAACCTAGAGGCTGCACTGGAACCCAAGTATTCAGCTGGACACTCTAGTCTGTCCCTTTTCCCAGGGAAGGTGGCGGGAGGGAAGCTGGGTGGACAGATTTGGCTTTCTGCAGTCCTGGCTGGCTCCCTCCCCTTCAAGGACCCTGGGGAGGGGGGAATCTACGATGGGTGCTGGAGATGGGGACTCTGCTCACCTGTGTCCTGGCGGAACTGGTGCATGGACTGCAGGTCAATGATGTAGGGCACCAGCTGGGCGTCCACCTGCCCCAGGACCACAGACCCCCGGGCGTCCTCCTTGAGCACGCTCTCGATGTGGTGGCACACGGTGGCCGTGTAGGGCCGCCAGCGGCTGTGCTCGTTCAGCCACTCCCACACCACCACCCGGGCCACGTTCTGCGGCGGGAAGCCCAGCCCGGTCACTGGCACCATCACGCCCTGGCCTGGCCGTGACATGGCCGCTGCTGTCTCAGGGGCCAGGTCCCCACGCTGGCTGGCCCAGGTCCTCCTGGGCCTGGGGACAGCAGGGAACGTCCACTCTTCCCAGAGGAGGCTGGGAAGTCCTCTTCAAGGCCTAGAGGCCTGGCTGCAGGGGACTGAGAGTGTGCAGCCGGGCTCCCAGGACCCCTTCCGGGCAGAGGTGTCTAGAGCAGGCGGCTGCTGGGGAGCAGATCTCTCCTAGGATGGGGAAAGCGGCTCCAGATTCCCAGGTCCCCTCTGTCAGGTGAGGCCGCTGTCTCCGTTCTGGGTCTGGCCTCCTCTCCGCTTGGCCTCTTGTTTTCTGCCGCTGCCGCGCAGCGTCTGTCACCCAGGAGGCCCGGGCCCAGCCCTGCCCTCTGCGGGCTCAGCAGCCCCTGCCTTCCCGGCTGCGACCAGACCCGGGCCCGGCCTCCGTGGGGCGGATCTCCCAGCCTCGGCCGGTCTCTCCCGACGGCTGCCGCTCCAGGGGCTGCCTGGGTCCCTGGCCCCTCTCCACGGCGTCCTAGGAGGCCCGGGTGGTCGCAGAAAGCTCGGGGCAGGTGTGCGGCGCGCGGGGGCTGCGGGACAGGGGACCACGGGGCCGAGAGGGGCGGGGGCCCGCGGGCACGCCCCACCCCACTCGTGCTCGCGACCTGTGGGAGACAGAGGGGAGAGGGCCCTTTAAGAGGTGAGCGCGGCACCTCCTCCCCCTTCCCAGGAGAACCTCGGCTCCGCTGAGAACAATGGGGACCGATGGGGGGGCGGTAAGGGGGTCTGGGGGACCCTGCCCGCGTTCCCCGGGGCGGGATCGGGGCTGGAGACTCGGGGTGTCGAGCTTCTGCCCCAGACGCCCGCTCCGCCGCCCGGGCTTCCGCCCCCCAGGGCCCGCGCCCTGCGGGGATGCGGGATTCGGGGCGCGCG